ATTTTGAACGTGCATCCAAAAGTCGAGACTTTTCCAACTGAAGCTATGTCATATCGTTTTGTCTGCTTGAAAGGGTAGAAAAGAAAAATTTCGAAAGCGCGGCGCTCTCCGTAACATTGTGCTCACATCCCTCTAACACTCCCCCAACCCCCTCTCCCTGCCATCGCTATTGACGTATGAAGTACAGTGGATAGCAGGGGAACATTCAAAATAAATTAGTGTTGACGGGAACTCAGTAAGAAATGCACGTTCATTCACGAGATTGCGATCTACCTGGCGAATAGACGGTTACCCACTCTTAAAAACCCCTATTAGCAGAGGTTTCTCCCTCTGCTAAATACTTTTAGACACCTTAATAAGCTTTAATAAAGTTCGTTCGGCGGTTCGTTTGTTCGTTCGTTCGTCGGTTCGTTCACTCGCACTCTCGCTCCAGGGCGCTCGCTCGTTCATTCGTTCGCTCGCTCGCCCGTCCGTCCGTCCGTTCGTTCGTTCGTTCGTTCGTTCAGCGCCCATGTCAATCTCTGTCTAATGGATAGCATAGTTTGATTTGTTAAAACTATCCCAGTGGACAGTGATTAACGATACGGACAGCGCTTGCGTTACCCAACCTTTGAAAAACCAGGCCTTAACACAAACTTTTACAACGTCTAACCATTTCGTTTCTTGTGCTTAGTCCACAATTCCATAGCATTGTCCAGGGTGAGTGGATCTCGCACCTCCTCCTCACTACTGCTGTTGTCATCATCCGTTTGAGCGCCAGCCACAGCAGCTGCTAACAATAGGTTCAGATTGCCTCCTGGACCAGTACCACCAATATCTCACGAAAAAAGAAAAACGTTTTTAAGCGTTGTTAAACCACGCAACGTTTTTTGAAGTCGGGCAAAGTCGCCTATAGAATCAATGTGCCAACTCTCTCTATAAATGTCTATTGTCGCCCAAAGTGATGGTTACTAAGGCCACGTTTGCTAAATAAATATTCTAACATGGCTCGGAGACTTTCAAGACAATATTGCATATTTTTTAAGGTTTCTTTTGTGCCTCAATTCCAAAAGGAGGCACCACCAAATATAGAAGTTTGTCCTGAAAGCCGCGGAGCCATGGTAAAATATTTATCGACCTATTGAAGTGCCTATCGCAAACATTACTGTCTTTTTTTTTTTTTTTTCGGGAGTTTTTTCTATGCGTACAGAGGTTCCGAGAGATAAATAACAACAACAAAACCAATAGAGATTTGATGCATTTGTCGCACTTGGCACCAGCTTCACGCTTTCACTTCAAGCTAGACTGGTTTACTTGCCCAGTTCCTCAGAAGGCCTCACGAGTTTACATACATACATACATACATACTTACATACTTTATTGGAACTCCCTTTAACACGGCTTTTCAGTCACAGTTACTAGTTATGACGTGTGCAGTCAATGCCCGGTGGGTACTCCCTTATATAAGTTATATAGGTATGTGTGGCCCCAAAGGGTATGGTTTTTCAGCCGTTTTGGTCATAAACAGGGTATGGTTTTTGCACTCTAGTTTTGAATTAAGTATGTATCTTAGAAGAAGCTACTTTTTCATCATTATCAATAAGACCATAAACAAATGCCCTTCATAAATTATGTTTAGGGCAGCTGTGCCCAACCACAATGGTCATAAATAGGGTATCGAATGTTTGGACGGTTCATAAATCGCAGTTTTTGGTCATAAATAGGGTAAGCATTTTGGGAAGTGGGCCGCACACCCCCAACCAGTTTTTCTGGGAATAGCCCAGCCCCCCCTGGGAGTCAATGCAATGAAGTCACTGAAATAAATTCTTATCAAGACCAAGGAAAACACCACACAGAAAAAAATTGTCTCTAGGCAAACTTTTGTATGACAGTCAGTTATTGCACAAAGTTTCTGGTGAACAATACTTACCAAAAACAGCTATAGCTGGGTGTACAATTGGCCTTTGAAAAAAATGAACAACAAAGAACTTATCAATATATTTCGTGGAACAAGGCTGGAAATACGTGTTTTGGATCAACTAGGGAAAAGTGGAAGGTGGTGGGGGAACAGTTTTCCAATGCAAATATTCTTAAAGTATTACACTTGAGATTACTTGGTCACAGATACTGCTGTACAACAAGTCCCTAGAGCTGTGGAAAGGTTACTAACAAGGGACTTATCCGGCCACTTGATGTGTCCACAGAATAAATGTCCCATTGTATACGTGTGAGGATAATTGTCAATGAAGTTAAAGAACAAACACAAAACTAAGAGACGGATGCCTATAAAATACGTATTAATCACACCTGAAAGTTTAAGTTTTATCAAGACATTGGTTGCTTCTAAACACAGGCAAGAAAACATGATGCAATCTGTCCTGCAGCTCTTTGTATGCCTTGCGGGCCTATGTTACTAGGTCACACGTTATTACAACTTACATGAACATTTGCTCATCAGGGTGATTGTACCAACAATCTTTTCCAAACAAACAACGTCCTTCTTGGTAATAGTGACAAACCTTCGGAAATAATTAGTTGTAATTTGTAGACTTGCATGATTCTTAAACCTAAAATGAAGTGCGATGATCTAAAGGCTGGGCTATGTTTTACTCCTGGGAAGGTACTGTGGTATCTTAATGATAGGATGTGCAAATGCCATCTAATTGCTAGACCCCAAGAAAGTCCTTATTGCCTAACAGCAGACCCAAAATGTCCAGCTGCCCAGAATGAAACCTATATGACTTTACCAAAATCTTTTTTCCGGAGAAAAAACAACTTACCTCATAAAGTGCTGAGATCACAAATTTCAAATGCAAAAAGGTCTCCACACACCCTTGTCACTAAAATACCTTGCTTCCCTCCCTCCCTCTCCCATCGTTAGGTTAAACTGTAGTTTCAGCATTTTCTCTTGACCAACAGACCAAGGTATTTGAATAGGTCTTGTTTAATTATTCGGTGACCTGATAAAACATGCTGGAGGTACCATGGTAACCTGGGATGGATCAACACTGCATATCTAGGGAGAGTAAAGCAAATCTCTGGGACTCATTATCTCACATTTATTGTGTTCAGAATTAATTAAGGTTAAAATACTTACTGGAACATCTCTGCTATCATGTGAAAACCTGCAGTTGTTACCCTCTCGGCATTCTCCTCGTATATAGTATCTGATGACAAGCACAAATAGTGTTAGTACTACTTTTCTTACAAAAAAAATTGATTTCAGTGTTCAGAATTAAGAAGCAAAATTTGTAGAATTTTACTTTTATCTGCAGAAAACCCAGTATTTATAATCGAATCATGATGAAGTCTAATACATTAATTAGAAGACATTAATCAGTAAGAAAGCCAATCAATCAATCAATCAATCGATCAGTCAATCAATCAATCAGTCAATCAATCAATCAGTAAGTCAATTTGAATGTTCACTCAATCAATTATGTCTATTTGACAAATAATTCATGACAGTTATTTACTCAATTGATATTAGATCAGTCTTTCATTCAGTTGACTTAAGAATCATCTCTTTTTTTATTCGTATATCTGTTACACATCAATAAAAGAGTAATTCCATCCAACTGCCCATAAGTCAGTTGGCCAATCAGTGCAACAGCCATTAAGGCAAGTAAACCAATCATTCTACCAATTAACGTTTCCACAGTTTCAAGATATGAAATCGGAAAAGATAATGATCTTTCCTCCTAGTGTTTTTGAAGACCGATCTTTCAGGAATATTTTAAAGGAAGCCTTATGATTGCATGGTTCAAATTACATAAAATTAACTTCATGAAGATATCTTGAAATTCTTCAGAATTCTTGTGTCCCTTGCGAGTGCTATGTACACATAATCTAGATCACTTCGATGAAAATAGATGTATGGCTAAACGTTTAGTTATGATCTAAAAGCGAATGAAAATTACCTGCAGAATCCGTTAGCCCTCCTGAAAGTAGAGAGATCAAGATGTGATTAATTTAACTTAATGACAAAAGTTACCTGATAACCAAGTTTGATAAACCATTGATAATGGAAGACATCTGAACGTTAGTCTTCATGGGCTCAGGAGGAAGAAATGGAAAATTTCAAAGTCTCTCTGTCAGAAACCGAGTTATCGATAAGTTAACCACAGGTTAAAAAAGCAGCCGAAGAAACAATCACCGAAAACACAGAAACATCGATCGGAGCCGCGATCGGTTATCTACATTTGTCAGTATTGAACAAACGTGCACATTTCGCCGCGCTTTCGATTTCAACCTGAAGGTTTGAAAATTATACTGTTGATGAGCTAGTAATCGACGAAACTGTGCTAATATAAATGTTTTGCAAGTAACAGTGGATTCAGTTGTAAAATGTACGATCAAACGTACCTTTCTGCAACAGCTGCAGCCTCCATCTTTAAATCTTCCCGCCGTCTTCGTTCCCGCGAAATTGCTACCTTATATAGAGACGAATAATCATGTGACCAATTTGCATGAGCCTTGGTCTTCAAGAACAGCGGAAAATAAAAAATCCAACATGGCGGACAGAGCGATAGTAAGAAACTTGTGTAAATCTCTGTTTTCGTCACGATTTTCCTCCATAAACGCAAAATCTATCAGGTATTTTACCAGGTATTTATCAAGTAGAGCTAATAACCTGAGAGAAGAGGAGAGCAGGATCTCTTTTATAACAGACGGCTGTAGTATAGAAGAGCTGGAAAACGTGCAAGATTTGGTGGATGGGAACTTAGAAGTTCGGGAAAACTTTATCTCCGAAGAAGAGGAATCGTTGCTCTTGAAGGAGGTAGAACCATACTTGAAAAGACAAAAGTATCAGTATGATCACTGGGACGATGTGAGTGTCTTAGCTGTAAAGTTGCATTTCCCCTAAGTTGTATCCCCTCCCTCCCTTCCCCACTGCAGTGTTCCTTGCTTGAGCACCCCCCCCCACTCGATCCTCATCCCAAAATCAGTAAACTGAGGTTTCCTCAGGGATAGGGGTAATAATAATAATAATAATAAATTATTATTCCATATACAATACAGCCAATCAGAATACTGGAAATCCATTATATTATATTGTATATTATTTTGACGGTATGCATCCAACCTTCCCATCATGCGCCGCGCAGGTGTCGCATGGTGTTGGCCACTGTATTTTCTATGACGTGGTATAAAATAGTCATGCAATGCTCTCTCTTGGAATGCAATGGAATATCCCACTTGTCACTTGTATTTTCTTGGTATACTAATGTGCATAAGGAGAAAATACAAATGACTTGTGTGATATTCCATGGTAAATCACTCAAAAGCATTGCATAACTAGTATATATCTCACGATTTGGTGTTTACTTTTTCATGCCTGCTGAATAATTTATGTAAAATGCAATGCTGACTGCACATACAAAACATAATTATTATAACCTTTGAACTAAATTATCTTTAATTATTATTGTAGGCAATCCATGGTTACAGGGAAACAGAAAAATCAAGATGGAGTCAAGAGTGTTTGTCAATATTCCAGAGAATTCGCAATGCAGCATTTAACTCAGACTTGGAACTGTTACCCCATGTTCATGTGTTGGACCTGGCTAAAACTGGGTTTGTACAGTGCATGTATAAACTTGAATACTCATACGTGAATAAGTAATGAGTATCCAATTTCTCTTCACATTAGCACATTATTAACCATTGTGAGAATTTACATGACGGTATCTACAATATATTAGGCCTGGTTGGTATTGATTAAGGGTTAGAGCTGTGGCTTTTGTGTGGTAGATGAGAATGACACAAAGTTACTTGGCAGACATTGATTCAGGCTTACTGATGCCTTTCCCTGCATCCCAATGTTTCCACTACTTGAGTTTTCGAAACTCCTGATTCTTCAAACCAAAACTACTTTCACTTCACTCATTTCAACGCTAATTCCCCCCCCCACCTCTCCCGATTTCTCAAACTACCCAATATTTCAAACCAATTAACGTTTCCCTTTAAGGTTCAAAAGGTCAGGATTCCACTATAATAAAATTAATTATTAGGATTGTTCAGAATTCACCGTTATTGAAATTGCATGAACACAATCAAACTGAACCAGGATTTTCTGGTTCTGGTATTTGCTTTTGTCCAGATCTCTGCACTTTCGGCCACAACTGACTGAAGACAAGCAAGCTTTTAATTAGCAACTAGCAAGCACGTGCACCTTTATATGACCAACTACCCTGACCACAGGCACTGCTGGTGCTCTTTTTGGTTACAACTCTTTAACAGTAAATGTATTTTTGTTAGTACATCAACAAAGCTTCATACCAGAACCATGAACCAATTAATGCACTGAGGCTGCCCAATGTTTATTGCTGAAATCAGTACAATTAATGTTATGGGTACAGTAGATGTACATGTACATACAGTAATAACCATCCAGGTGATTCTGGTTTCATTGATCTATCTCTGATATAAGGATCTATTTGTCTTGTATTTTAGATACATTAAGCCACACATTGATAGCATTAAGGTAAGTGTATTCAGTAATTTGACACCAGCCTGAGTCATTCAGTACTTGAACACAAATCAAAACTCAGATTGAGGCAAAACCCAACATTTTTAAGATTATGTTTGTAACATTTGTCTGAAGTGAGAGTCACTCTGAAAGTGATCCATTTGTCACAAGTGTGTTGCAAATCAGGTAAATTGCATTACATTTTACTGAGTTATTCAGAAATTAATATCAGCAATGAGAAGAAATTTCAAATATTTGGAGGGACTGTCTCACTACTTTTCAGACACGTATACAGTACTTGTTACAGTCTGGCAATAGCTTTACTTCAATCTGTTTCTTTAGTCTATTAGTCAAGTGATTCTGGCATTCCTCTCTACAAAATGCAAGTGAAAATTGCCTTTTGGGCGCATGATAGCGGGACAGATGCGTAGAATGTGTATTTTCTTCTCACATGTAGTTCTGTGGAGCTGTTATATCTGGCCTCAGTCTGCTGTCACCTTCAGTCATGCGATTTAAACATGAGAAGCTTGGCAATGTCAAAGTTGATGCCCTACTCAGACCAAGATCACTATATATCATAAAGTATGTTTACAACCTTGGAATGTTTGCTTCACAGGTTTAGGAGAATGCATGTGTTTCAAATCAAACCGTTCCTGAGAACTTAAGACAAGTTTCAGTTTATGGGAAACTAAGGGTTTCATTTAAAAGGCTTTGGATAGGAAGCCAATTGATCAGTACACATAGTATTAAGCAGCTGTGATGGAACCTTAAGCCTCCTCAATTGCTGCTTTCCACCTTTAGTGTTTCAATTAACTGAATTAAGCACTATGTTGTGGTTCAGAACTGTGGTGCTAAATATTAAGAATTTTGCGGTTATGTGAGGTGCTTATTTGAAGGGTTAGGGTTTAGGGTGGTGCTTAATTGAGACAGCCGGTATCACTTTTTCTTGTAAATATGGTAGTACATTATTTTTTAACAAACAGATTTTCAAGTGCACCCTGTGTTTAACTTTTATTATGCACTGAAAACCCATCCTTTAATTTGAAACTCAGTTTGATCATATCAGAAGCTTTCAATATTATTTTAAATCTTCAGGGATGCTGCAAGATATCAGTTTACTCATGAAATATTAAACGAGGATGAATCTGTTTGGAAAGGAGAGACCATTCCTAGAGACAGGAGAATATCAGTGGTTCTCAGATGCCAACCTTAACATCACTGACGAAGAATGTTTGGTCGTGAAATGAATCATTGGACTGATAATAAATTGGAAAAGAAAACTACAAGTTTTTGTATGCAGGATGTAATGCCTGTTACATCGGCGAGACTAGCCGACATCTCTTGACACGCGTTCGTGAGCATCTGAGCAGGGACAGGAACTCACATGTGTATTGATCAGCATTTGCAGCAATCCCAGGCATGTCGGTGTTTAACTTATAAGAAGTGCTTTTCCATCGTGGATTGTGCACCCAACAAGCTACAACTTATGTTGAAGGAAGCAATGCACATCAAATGGGAGAATCCCACTTTAAATAAGCAGCTGAAACATGCTGACTTAACTCTCTCGTTCTGATATTTCTCTTTATGTATATACATTTAGTACCGGTTTATTTTATATTTTTTGTGCATAACATGTTGTGTTATTATCATTGTAATTATTTCTATTTTTAACAATTTTCTTCCCTGTGTTAAGTGTAGTGCTTGCGCAAGTGTTATTCCATGTCTCACGCTTCATAAAATTGTACGTTAATTTTTTCTAAATTTTGAATTGTATCACCTTTCACTTATACGCCATTGCTTGTATTAATTCAACCAAACTTGTAAACGAATTCACAACTGAAGATGATTGTTGAATGATCGAAACATGTCTTGTTTTAAACTTAAAGTTGTTGTCCATTTCTTAAAACTTTAAAGAGTTAAAAAATTAAACTTTAGTCTTTCAACATTCAATAATTTTGATTAGGGTATACTGAAAACGCAGTGCAGCTCAATTGGTCATCTCTTTACAAAAAGCAAACTAACATACTACGTCAGAAAGCAATAATTACTATTGATAGAATGTCACAGTTACAGCTAATTTTATTTAATATGCTACATGTACATCTATCATGTACAACAGTCTGACTATAGATTGAACATTTAAACAGATTATATTATAAGACTAGAGATTTATTTATCTTCAACAAATTCAGCAAAAATATAATTCAGTTTACATACAAAAATAATTAACTAAAGACAAATATCAGGATATTAAAATTATTGTCATAAGAAACCAGTGAGTTCTCACCTCGAGGTTTCATGCATCAAGCACTGCATGAAAACATTCCCAAACAGTTGCAAATTAAAATATTTCCTTTTAAAATAACAGCTATTAAAGAACCATGACTTTGAGTCATACATCATGTGTGCCATGGTTAATAGGTTACAATAGACCTACAGTATACAGCCTGTACAGGAATTAATTTTGAAACTCAAATTGTCTGTTTCTGAGACAAACCATATGTTGTAAATAAAGGCATGTTTTTACATTTTATCAAAGGCCCAACTGTTTGTCATGTGATTTTTGGTGAAAAACAAATGTGACACCACTTGACCAAGCTCCCTTTAACATTATGTCTTCCAGTCCCTTCCGATCTGCACAGTGATTCCACTGTGACAGATTTGCACTGCAGTCTGTACCTTCAGGGGGAAGGTGAACCTGAATGTTGTTCACACATCGACGACACTTGAATCTGTAAAGAAAAGGAAAAACACATTAGAAAAAAAGGCCTTAAAATGACATTTCAGACAAGATTCCCATTCTGCTTTAGGTTTTTGAGACAGTAAATAAATATGTAAGAACTTACTGGGTTTATGTTTATGATTTTTACCATTTTATTCCTCCGTTTTTTCCTCATTTTTAGTTTCGATTTGGTAGATGTATCAGACACTCAAGACAGTGTTTGACCACATTTCCAAACACCTCAATGTTCATCGAAAATAGTTCTACTTGGCATTATATTTTCAACTCTCTTCTTGATGTTTGGAAATGTGGTCAAACATGGTCCTTTGTGTTTGATATATTACTTCATAAGTTTAGGAATGAAAAAAGCCCTCTGTGAGTACTTCACTTACCATCAAATGCAGCCCAGCAGTTTCTTTACAAACCATGCTTGGTTCATTCACACTACTACTAAAGAGACAACTTACTTGTCATGAGTATCACTAAGAGTGTCCTCATTCAAACGGAACAAGTCTTTCAATTCTCCAACTGAGAAGTGCCTTTCTACATCTTCCTCTTTGTCTACCACGCAGCTGCTTAGAGCTTTTTTGTGGGCTTGACGTTGAAAGATCTTTTCCTCAATAGTACCAGTCTGAAAAGATAGAATTCAACAGTGGTACATGTACTTAACCAGTCTGTGGGAGGTGCGGTGGCCTCATGGTTAGTGCATTCGTCTCCAGATCGAGCAGCCCGTGTTCAAGCCCTGGACATTGTGCTAAGTTCTTGGGCAAGACACTATACTCTCACAATGCCTGTCTCTACCCAGGTGTATAAATGGGTATCGGCAAATTTAATGCTGGAGGTAACCCTGCGATGGACTAGTATCCCATCCAGGGGGAAGGAGGAGAAATACTCCTAGTCACTTCATGCCACAGAAACCGGAGATAAGCACTGGCCTGATGGACCCTTTGGCTTCCATGCAGACTTTACCTAGTACCTACTTGACCAGTCTGCTTGGTGGCCAGACACTTAATTGACACCATGTATCCTTCAGTCTAAAGTGACTATACAGTATACCATGAGGAGTTTCTGAATTAAAGATAAAACTGTTTCATTGAAATTTTCAACTTACCGACAGCAGTCTGTAAATGAAGACCTACAGAAGGAAAGAACAGTTTTCAGTAACTTTTAATACAGTTGAACTCCATTATTTCAACCTCTCAGAGGAAATGAAAAAAAGTTCAAAATAGTGGGAGTTTGAAATAGTCAAAGTAGTAAATAGTCTCCTCCGCAGCCATTATTAGCGTCGTCCCGCAACGCTTCTCCACGGGAGAAGC